GGGCGGGAACAGCTGGCTCTGTCTCTAGATAGGCAGAGCCAGCTGTCAGTCACGCAGCTGGGCGGATCCCGGCACAATTGTCGGGATCCGCTCCGGCTGCGGCGTCTCAGTATACCGCGAGCTGTAGCTCCCTATATACTGAGCTTAGGGTGACGGGAGGACGTTAGTTTGTGTCCCCCCGTTACCCTAAGGAGAACTATGGGGAAAAGCCCTGACCCCGTAATTATAGTGGAGACTACAGATGAAGGTCATTATTAGAGGTGCACCGAAATGAAAATTTCAAAACCGAAACAAAACCAAAATATAAAAAATTGTAAGGCCGAAACCGAAAATGTTTTTTATTTTAACTTTTCTAAAAAAAAAAATGTCATATTTTATTTTTATTTATTTTTTATAAACGTTTAAAACATTTTATATTTGTTTTTATATGTTCATTTTTTATTAAATATTTTTATTTTTTACTTTACTTTTAGGGGATTCGGGGAAATATTAGGGGTCTAAACAGACCCCTGATATTTCCCTTTTAAAAGAGATGGAGGACACAGAGTCCTCCCATCTCTTTTTCTGTGTCCCCGGTTATCAATGATCAGGAATCCCCTATACTGAGTGTTCCTGATCATTGATAACATGAGGACAGAGTATGATTACTATAACCACAATCGTGAATGAACAAGAAGTGATGTAGATGTGATGTAGATCACTTCCCATTCATTCATAATGGAGGATATAGTAAGCATACTCTGTCCTCATGTTATCTACAAACACTCAGCCATCACTTATCACCGACTGCTTGTACCCGCTCTCCTCTCTGACACGCTGTCACAGGAGGCTGAGCGAGCGATGCTGGAGGAGAGCTCAGCCTGCTGTGACAGCGCGGCCTGTCTCCGCCCCCACACCGCTATGCCGATCTGTGATAGGAGGCTGAGCGGTGTGGCAGGAGAGATGCCGCCCGCTCACAGCGCTCGGCCGGCTGTCACAGTTTCTCTCCTCCCCGCTGGGACACAGAGCGGCGCCCAGCGGGGAGGAGAGAAAGAACAGATGCGCCGATGTATCGGCAGGAAAATGGCACTTTCGGCTACCAATAAGTGACTATAAAGGCTTTGAGATACAGTTGCGGGCGGGACATGGGATGGATTAGAGTGGGGGCAGAAATGGAAACAGAGACTGTAGGAGAAAATGGCTGGGAGGAGTACAAGAGAAGCCTTAGATTTATGGCATGGTAAGTGAAAGATGTGGACCAACTGGAGTGTGAGGTACACCAGAGAAGACATGGATGACATATGTGCGAGTGTCTGTGGGTGATAGACAATGCGGACAACATATACAACAGTGATTATAAAAGATAAGCGATACATTATTCTTTGTTCTTTCACAGGGACCACCAGGATCCACTGGCATACAAGGTCCTATTGGAATCCCAGGTCAAGCCGTAAGTATTGAGGAAAATCACCCGCTTATTCGTATGAGATGGCTGACCACATGGAACTGTAGGTGACATATGCTTATATTAAGGCCCCATTCACACCTGACCGTTTTGTAGCGCGTCCTACGCTCGATGAACGCTCTACAAAACGGTCAAAAAAATAAATAGCACTGTAGTCAATGGTATCGTTCCCACCTGTCCGTATTTCCGCCCGTCCCGAACGCGCTACAAAACGGCCCACGCATGAAAAGGTCCCGGAGCGTTTTTGCTGCGTATTGGTCCGTTTTGTAGGTCGTTTTCCATTTGGATACTGCCAAGTAGCCTTTGGAATCGCGCGAAAAAAAAATGCGTGACGGTCGCGCGACAGACGCGCATATTACAATACGCATAGGTGTGAATGGGGCCTAACTTAAACTCTAAATAAATAACCACACAACACTATTTTATTTGAATTGGCATTAATTGGCCGCGGCATTTTTATTGGATTAAATAATTAGATCAAGCTCTAATAACCAATCAAAATAATCAACCAATAAACTGTTAAAATTCCACCATATTGCCCAGTTTTCGAAACTCGAGCAATATATCACTCAATGGAATAGTCCCCCTCTCCTGAGGTGACAAACCACATAAAAATACCACGACTAGGGAGGGGGGGAGGGAAGCTTGTAAAACGGGATTCCAACTGGATGCTTCATTCCTAGCAGCACCTCCTTATATAGGGTAGCTATTTAACCCCTTCATGACTGAGCTTGTTTTTAGTTTCTGCTCGTAAATGACTGACACACTTTTGACATTTTTGCTGTGTGATTCTTCCACGTCAGTAATATACTTTCTTACAAAGTGCACCCACACATATTATATATTGTTTTTTAGAGGACAGATAGGGCTACATATTTATATCACATATGTGCGTCTAACGCCTCACTTAGGACAAATAAAATATAAAAAAAGAGGAAAAAACCGTTTAAAAAAAACACTTTTTTCCCAGTTTTGATTTGTAGTATTTTTTTTACAAAACCAGCACAGCTAAAAAAATGCAATAAATACATTCATTTATTTGTCCCTTATTTTATTTTATTTTTTACACATTTTTTTATTTTTTTTACACTTTTCACAATTTTTTTTTTTTTTTACACTTTTCACTTTTTTTTTTAACTTAAAAATGTTATTTTATTTATTTAATTATATCAAGCAGATTTTGTGAATTAATCTCACTGTTACTGCATGATAAATTAATACATTTTTGGTTATTATCAGGCTGCTTCAAACTTCAGAACAGCCGATAATAAGTTAGTGACACTGATCCTGCAGCAGTTCAGGATTCAGCTGTTACTAAATGTTTTCTGATTGTTGCAACAACGATCAGCAAACAAACATTCTTCTTCCAGGAATAGATACATTGTAGGAATAGACACATTTTGTATCTATTCATGAAAGAAAAAAAAAAAGCCAGTATAGCTTGAGAGAGATATCTCTCGATCTATACGAGCTGTCAGAATGCCGGCAAAAGCCGGCATCTGTGTCCGCTTTGCTTTGACTCTCAGACACCCGATATTAAGGTATCGGGTGTCTGAAAAAGGTTAACCCTTTCATTAATGAATGCCTCTGTAGTAAGGGCATACATTAATGAATGTTAAAAGCTGATTCTCAGCGATTAACAGCCCTCTAAAGCAGCAAATAACTCGTCACGTACAGTGTACGTGACAAGTCATTTGGTCCCTTTGTGGCTGGACGTACAGTGTACGTCTCCCGTCACGAAGGGGTTAAACTGCCATACATCCTCGTGGCAATGTTTTCCCGCCAAATTAACGATTTTTCCCGCCGGAAAAATCACCGTTGAATTTTCTTAAAGGGGCAGTGTACTGAAATATAAAAAACATGGAAAAAACACCAAAAACACAAACCTAACTAATAGTCCCCACATTCCCATGAAAATGGGCATCTAATGGATGCCATTTTAACATTCCCTGAGAGTCCACCAACCAACATTTCACTTTAAAGGGCAGCAAAACCTTCATTCAGGACTTGAAGAAGACCTTGTACCATGATATCACTAAAACCACTCTGCACCACATAAACTATCAATAGTAAAAAAAAATAGCAATCTGGCAAAAATTGTTGTATTCTGGTACCTTTAAAGGAGAACTATGAGGGGGGGGAGGTGCTTTTCACTCACCTCATAGTTCTAGCCGACCTGTGACAATGAGACTGTCACAGGTCGGCTCAGTAGATCGGGAGGTGAGGGAACACATACCGGCGTTCGCTCACCTCTCGATCCTGTCATGGCTCTCTGCGGTGACAGGGGAGGGGCCGGATTCCCCCCTCCCCGCTCCGATCCGCCAGCGCTGACTGGCGGAACGGATGATACAGCTGGCTCTGCCTCTAGATAGGCAGAGCCAGCTGTCACTCACGCAGCTGGGCGGATCCAGACATAATTGTCGGGATCCGCTTCAGCTGCGGCGTCTCAGTATACCGCGAGCTGTAGCTCCCTATATACTGAGCCTAGGGTGACGGGAGGACGCTAGTTTGTGTTCTCCTTAGGAGAACTATGGGGAAAAGCCCTGACCCCCTAGTTCTCCTTTTAATGATAATATTTAGGGCATAAATCCCTTTTTTCTTTCACATTTCTTTTTTATATTTTTTTCTCCACATATACATGCAGACCAAGCTGTCCACCAATGTTGTGATAAGCTCCTCACTCGATCCTTCTCAGCTGTGCTTCTCTGAACTTTTACATTTCACTGCATACACCAATGAATGGTCATATTGCCTCATGTTGAGGGACTACATGTCCCATGATCCTTTGAGCTTGATAGCTTATGTACCTATGTGCCTGTCTGTGATCATGGCTTAGTATACAGGCTTCGGTGCCGCTTAGAGAAGTAAGGTGAGCAGCTTGGGATGCAGGCTTCAGTGCTGCATGTGGGCATGGGGCATCTACACAACGGTATGCAGTTGGGCTCCATAGGGACCCTACAAGACAACATAGCCACCCTATAGACAGAAATGCAGTTTCTGCAGAGGTTTGCAGAAATGATGACCTGCACAGATAAAGGAGAACGCATGAAAGGAAGTGAGTAAGTTGTCCTGCTAGATTTTTCTCCTCTAAACACGGGTTTAAGACACTTTAAGTAAACTGCATTGTTGTGCTGCTATTAGTAGGTTTCCCAGACTCCATGTTCCTGCAGTGCCAGCGAAGTCTGTAGGTGACTTCATACACATAGGGATCTGTGATTGGATGGAGAGAGAGTGCTCATATGACACTACACTGGACCACCAAACGAGGACCTCTATCAGCCGGTGGTCGTATCTACATGACATTCTCTTGCTAACACAGAAGACCGCATTGGGCCAAGCCCATTACACCAGAGCGGAGCACAGATATGGGTTTTACACATTGCAAGCTGGATGAGAAACATACATTATATCAGCATTTTGTCATGTAGAGTTGGGAGAACTCCACGCCCACAAAGTGTTCTGTTAGAAATGTTCTTTCATATGTGGTGACATTCCTTCTTATACCTCCACAGGGCCAAGACGGAGAACCCGGTCGCAGAGGTCAGCCAGGAATGCAAGGACAAAAGGGAGATGAAGGACATCGAGGCTTTACCGGCGTGTCAGGTCCTCGGGGACTCCAGGTAGGTCACAGAATTCTGAATGCCGGTTTTTCACTTTCTATATATAAGGCGGTTTCCGAGTTAGAAACACCCGGCTTATGTACATACACGCATACACATGTAGAAGCACATGCATGCACGCAATAGGTTGAACTTGATGGACCCGTGTCTTTATTCAACCTCAAATACTATGTAACCTACGTCTCGTACTTACAAACGGAGGTCTCCGTGCTCGTGCCGACGTTCGTAGTACTGTACCTCCTGTACATTACAGGAAGTGCAGACGGGGAGTGCCCGCCTCTTCTTCTGGGTCTGGTGCTGTACAGGAAGTTGGCTTGTGACCCTGTACGTACAGTACAATGTACACAATTTTTGTCTTCACACTGTAACAATGCCGAAAAACACAAATCTGATCCAAGTCCTGGTGATACAGCAAAGAAAAACCATCACCATGGAAGATAAAGTAGAAATAATAAAAAGATCAGAGAGAGGTGAAACTCTTGGCAGGGCATTTGGTTACAGTCGGTCAACAATCGCAACAATTTTAAAAGATAAAGGTAAAGTAATGGAGCATGTGAAAGGCCGTACACCAATGAATGCTACGATTATTACCAAGCAAACATTTACCTGTTCCAACTTACATACAAATTCAACTTAAGAATAAACCTACAGAACTTATCTTGTTCATAACCCGGGAACTACCTGTATAAGGCAGTTTCACGTGTGATTAAAGGAGAACTATGAGGGGGAGGGGCTTTTCACTCACCTCATAGTTCTAGCCGACCTGTGACAATGAGACTGTCACAGGTCGGCTCAGTAGACCGGGAGGTGAGCGAACACATACTAGGTTCGCTCACCTCTCGATCCTGTCACGGCTCTCTGCCGTGACAGGGGGAGGGGCTGGATTCCCCTCTCCCCGCTCCGATCTGCCAGCGCTGACTGGCAGAACGGACGGGGGAGGGGGCGGGTACAGCTGGCTCATCTACGTCGGGATCCGCTCCGGCTGCGGCGTCTCAGTATACCGCGAGCTGTAGCTCCCTATATACTGAGCCTAGGGTGACGGGAGGACGCTAGTTTGTGTCCTCCCGTTACCCTAAGGAGGACTATGGGGAAAAACACTGACCCCATAGTTCTCCTTTAAATGCGTGTAGGTCGTTTCTAATATAATGTCTTATAAGTTACATTTATTGCTACAATTTATGTTTTAAAGTCTTTAATTTTCTTCCACAGTAGATTAAAGCACTATAGGTTATTGAGAATTTTCCTTAATTCACACTTCAGCTGTCCCCTTAGATCAGTGGTTCTCAACCTTTCTAGGGCCGGGACCCCTTGGTAACATTTGCCAAGTTGTGGTGACCCCCCAACCGTAAAATGTAGGGATTCACCAATACTAGTATCTGTGTGGGCTCTTGGGAGGCTATGCGGGCTCTCAGGTGGCTAGTGGGACTCTCTGGTGGCATCCAGTGCGGGCTCTGTGGTGCCCAGTGTGACGACATGGTGATCAGTTTATGTGTATTGGTTAAGTTAAATGTGTATTGGTATTGAGTTATGTTTGAGTGCGTTATGCTGTGTGACCTGGTTATGTAAAGACTATCAGCCCCATCCCCCGTTATCTCCCATTGTTCTCTGAGGGAGCTCAGAACAATGACATTCTGGCCAGGCTCCTGCCATGGCTGTCTGGAGTTCGTTAGCAGGTGGACACCTGTGGTGTTGAGCAGACCGATGGTCTGGGAGGAGGGGAGGTGGATGTGATGGGATTATATTCTGATTTCATCACTTGCTGTATATAAGTTTGTGCAGTTGTTCAATAAACCAGAGTTTGTTTCACCTACACTCAAGCCTTGGCTAGTGACTGGGGAAACTGGGAGCTAAAGATCTTCAGGTTCCAATATCTCCTCAGCAAGGAAGAAGACAGCGGCGGACATACTCATCCTGAGTACGGGGGTCCGTCACACCCAGTGTGGGCTCTGTGGTGATCAAGCGCTCACCTCTCCTCACTCCTGCCTGCTCCCCTCTCTCTGATCCCCACTGGCCGCTGCTGCCGCAGCGCCATCTAGGAGTACTGACACTGCTGCGCTAGGAGGAGGCTGAGGAAACTCTTACTAGAGCAGCACAAGACACTTGGGGACCCCCTCAACTATGGGTCGCGACCCACAGGTTGAGAACCACTGCCTTAGATACTCGAGTGACAGATTTATTTTGCTTCAGTTATGTAACCATCAGAAGGGTGCTTATATAGCTTAGCATCATATAGGTATATAGGTAGCATCATAGCTTTATGGAGACCCTGATTTGAGATTTTGTTCCAGGGGGAGGAAGGGCAGAAGCCGGGTTTAGATCTGTGATAAATGAATCAGTGATAGAGAAGGAAAAGGGAAATGTAAGTGGAGTATGGTGTGAGGAAGAATAAAATCACATTTATAAACTGCCAATTGTGCAAAGGTATCCCAACAGGCGGGATCCAATGGGCAAAGTATCACTTCAACAAGATACATATAAAAAGAGCTAGCACAATCTCAATAATCATGAGCCAATGTGGTCCACCATGGGCTCAATATGGGTATTAGTACATCCAAATACTTGGATTAGACACAGCAGGTCCTCTTAGGAATAATAGTTAAGTAAGAGATCCTAGTAATATCCTAGTAAGAGATCCTAGTAATATCCTAGTAAGAGATCCTAGTAATATCCTAGTAAGAGATCCTAGTAATATCCTAGTAAGAGATCCTAGTAAAAATAATAGTTAAGTAAGAGATCCTAGTAATATCCTAGTAAGAGATCCTAGTAATATCCTAGTAATATCCTAGTAATATCCTAGTAAGAGATCCTAGTAAGAGATCCTAGTAAGAGATCCTAGTAATATCCTAGTACTATCCTAGTAAGAGATCCTAGTAATATCCTACTAAGAGATCCTAATAATATCCTAGTAAGACATCCTAGTAAGAGATCCTAGTAAGACATCCTAGTAAGAGATCCTAGTAAGAGATCCTAGTAAGAGATGTGAGTAATATCCTAGTAAGAGATCCTATTAATATCCTAGTAAGAGATCCTAATATCCTAGTAAGACATCCGAGTAATATCCTAGTAAGACATCCTAGTAAGAGATCCTGGTAAGAGATGTGAGTAATATCCTAGTAAGAGATCCTAGTAATATCCTAGTAAGAGATCCTAATATCCTAGTAAGACATCCGAGTAAGAGATCCTAGTAAGACATCCTAGTAAGGCATCCTAGTAAGAGATCCTAGTAAGAGATCCTAGTAAGAGATCTGAGTAATATCCTAGTAAGAGATCCTAGTAATATCCTAGTAAGAGATCCTAATATCCTAGTAAGACATCCGAGTAAGAGATCCTAGTAAGACATCCTAGTAAGGCATCCTAGTAAGAGATCCTAGTAAGAGATCCTAGTAAGAGATCTGAGTAATATCCTAGTAAGAGATCCTAGTAATATCCTAGTAAGAGATCCTAATATCCTAGTAAGACATCCGAGTAAGAGATCCTAGTAAGACATCCTAGTAAGGCATCCTAGTAAGAGATCCTAGTAAGAGATCCTAGTAAGAGATCTGAGTAATATCCTAGTAAGAGATCCTAGTAATATCCTAGTAAGAGATCCTAATATCCTAGTAAGACATCCGAGTAAGAGATCCTAGTAAGACATCCTAGTAAGGCATCCTAGTAAGAGATCCTAGTAAGAGATCCTAGTAAGAGATCTGAGTAATATCCTAGTAAGAGATCCTAGTAATATCCTAGTAAGAGATCCTAATATCCTAGTAAGACATCCGAGTAAGAGATCCTAGTAAGACATCCTAGTAAGGCATCCTAGTAAGAGATCCTAGTAAGAGATCCTAGTAAGAGATCTGAGTAATATCCTAGTAAGAGATCCTAGTAATATCCTAGTAAGAGATCCTAATATCCTAGTAAGACATCCGAGTAAGAGATCCTAGTAAGACATCCTAGTAAGGCATCCTAGTAAGAGATCCTAGTAAGAGATCCTAGTAAGAGATCTGAGTAATATCCTAGTAAGAGATCCTAGTAATATCCTAGTAAGAGATCCTAATATCCTAGTAAGACATCCGAGTAAGAGATCCTAGTAAGACATCCTAGTAAGGCATCCTAGTAAGAGATCCTAGTAAGAGATCCTAGTAAGAGATCTGAGTAATATCCTAGTAAGAGATCCTAGTAATATCCTAATAAGAGATCCGAGTAATATCCTAGTAAGAGATCCGAGTAATATCCTAGTAAGAGATCCTAGTAATATCCTAGTAAGAGATCCTAGTAATATCCTAGTAAGAGATCCTAGTAATATCCTAGTAAGAGATCCTAGTAATATCCTAGTAAGAGATCCTAGTAACATCCTAGTAATATCCTAGTAAGACATCCGAGTAATACCCTAGTAAGAGATCCAAGTAATATCCTAGTAATATCCTAGTACTATCCTAGTAAGACATCTAAAACTTGAACATGAAGAAAGTGTACGTGTATCAATAGCCAGCAGACAGATTGCGGGAAATGTCCAATGTTGCAGATTTGTATTACAATGGATAAGCAGATACAATGAGGTGAATTGTCTACAATGTATATATTAGTTTATTGGAATAATAGTCTGGCTTTAAGTGTGACCCGTTTTATATTATCACAAAAATAACACTATCGTCTCTCATCCCAGGGTATGCCTGGACCTCCAGGAGAGAAGGGAGAAAGTGGACATGTTGGGCCAATGGTGGGTGTCCCTTTATATGTGATACAAGAAATCAAACTGAGATCTGAATAAACAGAGCTTAACAAATAACATTTAATTGCAGGGCCCCCCGGGTACATCAGGTCCTAGAGGTCCTATGGGTCCCAACGGTGGTGATGTAAGTAAGTTGGTAAACTGTTTGACAATAAAAGAGCAAGGCTAGACCATCTCTAAACCGCCCAATCATTTAATGTTTCAGGGACCCCCCGGACAGCCAGGTGGACTGGGCCAACCAGGAGCCGTTGGAGATAAGGTAATAGGGGGCTTATTTGAATGTCTACTTGATGGTTTAACTTGTGATATTCACCAGAGGTGTAACCAACATGAAGTCCACGATGTGTCAAAGAGATTTTCTTACGCGATGGAAAAAGCTTTTACGAACTACACAGAAAAATGGAATAATCCTTTTACTGCCTACACACCAAATGTAAAAGTTACCCTGAGGGTGATGGCCAAACGTTATCTGGAGATCACTAGAAGCATCTTCTGCTTTACCTATGCTTGATGTCTGTCCTTTAGCCCACAAAATCCGGCCTCTTTGCATTTTTTTTTTACCGTCTATTTAAACTTTGCATGCTGCTGGATGTTCAAGGGATTCCATAGAATGGGCTTGTCTGTATTTTGTCAAGTGTTCATGGGTTAGTCCAACCTTTCCTAAACGTCCTACAAAAGAACCTTCGGAAACTACTCATAGGTCTCGGGGAACCCCTACTAATATCTACTATATCTGCAGCTAACGGTACATTCGTGTGAACAGTTGAAACAAAAGAATACATTTTACAAAATAAGGGATTTGGTATACTTTATGTATCTGACACCTGCTCTATGGTATAGGACGATTGTTTCCAGTGATAATCATGAAATAAAGAAACAATAATAAAGGCCAGAAAACAAACACAAACTGTGAACATTGGTGGTCTGTGAAATGGCCCCCTTCAATTGGTGGTCATTGAGAGGTCCTCAATGCACTGATAGTCAGTGATTAGAATGTTCCTTACATTGGGGGGTAAGTGGGAAGAATGCTCCTTACATTGGAGGTCAGTGGGAAGAATGCTCCTTACATTGGAGGTCAGTGGGAAGAATGTTCCTTACATTGGGGGTCAGTGGGAAGAATGCTCCTTACATTGGGGGTCAGTGGGAATGGAAATAAAGATGCATGATACTGGTGACATCACTGACTTTATAGGGCCACATATAAGGAGAGCGGAAACTTACAGGATCAACACCAATATATATAAATAATCTTCCACAACTACATTTATAAGGCGAATAGAACATCTTATTTGGGTGTTTTGGTTTACATACACTAAGTAATCCAGTCGTCTTCATGTATGATGCAGCCTATTGAATAACGCTTTGTTGTCCCCACAGGGAGAAGCAGGAGAGGGTGGAGATCCAGGATCACCGGGAGAATCTGGTCCCCAGGTGAGTATATGGCCAAAAAAACAAGATGGAGGTGATATAATATGAATGTGTCATTAATGTATATTATCATGGAGACGCTCCAGGCGTGCCAGCAGAAGACTAAGCCCTCGTTCACACCTGAACGTTTTGTAGCGCGTTCTACGCTCGACGAACGCTCTACAAAACGCTCAAACATCTAAATCCCATTGTATTCAATGGTCTCGTTCCCACCTTAGCGTATTTCAGCCCGTCCCTAACGCGCTACAAAACGGCCCACGCCTGAAAAGGTCCAGGTACTACTTTGGGCCGTTTGGTTGCGCGTTTCCATTGGGATACAGCCAAGTAGCCTTCGGAAACGCGCGTTTGTCGTGCGACTTTTTTACCGCGAATCGCGGTAAAAAAACCAGCGACGGTCGCGCGACAGACGAGCATATGCAATACGCCTGGGTGTGAACGAGACCACCCTCCGCTCCTTAGATTTCTGAAGATGTGTAACAGAGTATCAGTGTCATTAGAAATCACGGGGCCCCCGTACAGCCTGGCCCTGGGGCCAGAAAAGCACCACCACTTCATTGTTGGTGAGACTGTGCGGATGGCAGCCAGCTCTGAGAAACCCAAACACAGCACGATGGTCATGTACTGATCACTCTCCATCACAAGGAGCCACTCTGCATGCCACCATGCCTCCTGCCAGCTTCTACCTTTCTACTGTGACAGAGAACCATAGAAAGTCACTCGCACTCCGTTTCTAGATAGCAGTCAGTCTCCTTTATTGAACATACACGGAGCGACGTTTCGGGACCAGGCGGCCCCTTCTTCAGGCAAACAATAGTGACTGCTATCTACAAACGGAGTGCGAGTGACTTTATGGTATTTTGCATTTGATGTGCGGAGGTATGCGCTGTCACTA